TTTTTTTTTTGTATAATAAATTTACGAGTAATTTATATTTATAGATTAAATCTTATAAAATATAGAAATTACTTTGGTTCTCATCACAAATAGTATTTGGATACTCTACGAAAACTTGTTGATTTTTTAAACTGTTACTTTCTGAAAGAGAATCTAAAATGTAGAAAATTTAAAATTGGGTCATTTTAAAGCACTAAAAGTCTGTACTTCGTTCAGTTTTGAGTTCATGTTTTCAAAAATATTTTAATATCGTGTAAAAAAATAAAAAAAAAGAAATGGTAAGAATTCAAACGTCAAAAAACTAAAAAGATAAAAATTGGAGTTTCTATTATACAACAATTGCTTAAAACTTTCTGTGCGATTTTTATTGAACTTTGAATACTAAAGTTGAAAGACAGAAAAGAAAAGTTCTAATATTCTGTTGGTAATTGTACAGTAAATTTCGTGGCATTTCTTTCGATTTATTTATACTTTCCGATATAACAAATATGAGAGACATCTGTCATTGCTTCAAAATATAATTTAATAAATAAATTCAAAACCATACAATGTTTCAAGTTCTTATTTTTCTGTAAATTTTTCGAAATTTTGGTAAATGTTATTTAGACTTTCGTGACTGGCTGTACATCGTTTCGAGTTCGTATAAATATTGCATAAACAATGCAATGTAACAATGTGCGGAAACATGAAGATTTCACGCTGCTTTTGCATTTTTACAATTTTTATTAGCAGATTATCGCGAGAGAAAGTAATTAAACAAATATCAATACATGTTGTAAGCTGATATGAAGAGTTGATCGATTGAGAGGGACAGGGAATTCAATTTTTCATCGCTGTCAATCTTCTGCCGGCAGGCGAACGTTTCGAAATGGATTATTAACAGTTAACGATTATATTGATTCTGAGTCCATTCTCGTTTTATAGCATAGTAACTGCAAATCCATTACTGTTCTTTTTTTTGTACTTCTATTTGTATTAGTATTGATACAACATTTTTCCATGTAGCTTGAAACGACGTATATTCTATACTCATACAATATATTTTTCATTTGCAAATACCAGTAAGTTTAATTGGGAAAATTTGGAACGTTCTACGTATAGATGCAATCGCGTTATTTGCCTAGATGAAAGTCGAGATTAATTTCATGAAAAACTTCTGCGCGTTTTTAATTAATTGCAAAATCGAGATACCAACAATTTGTTAACTGCAGCGTTAATGTAATCAATTAAATTTTAATTTCAGCGTCATACTTTTATCTTTCAACCTTTCCACAGATAGAGCGAAAAATTGGCAATCTAATGTAAATTACTCTAGTCATTTATAATCCAATGATACCTCACGGATTAAATTATTCTCGCTGCCTTATTTAGATTATTTCTTGCATCGTTTTTAAAGATACCGTATATGTCCTTTCTCTAGGATGAACGGATGTAATCAGCAGCAGAAGTATAGCGTACGAGATAAAAGAAATCGGTCCCGAGTCTCACGTAACTTCCGTCGGGGAGAGGAACATCCGAAGTCGAAGCCGGGTCTTCGTTGCCTCGTCGAGGCAATCTCGTCTCGTCAGTTCCAATTCTTAAAATGCCATTCTTCTTTTTCCGCAGGTTACCCACGGACGGCGGGCGTTTCGAACGATCGGAGGACCAGGCTTATGAGCACGCGTACCAGGCCAGGGAGGATTGCGGCCATCTTTATCCGACCTGCCGCTATTCCATTTACGAGCTCGAGTTCTGAGGCCAAAGCAACCAGCAATTGGACGCATTCGTATGCGTGTGCAGACATTGACCGCGTTTCACTGGTGAACGTGCCGTCTCTCTTCCCCTCCGGAAACTACTCTTTCTGGCTACTCGCCCGTTCCACACCGATTTTTCAACCCCTGGACCCCGACAGCGCATAATCTTCCGTTGCATGACGGAACTCGGTCCGCACGATCGTGTTGCCAACTTGCGCGGATCTTTGCGCGTCTTCGCCTCTTATTTTGTTCCATCTGACTAGTGGCTTTGTTCCGGCCAGGACGATGTTCTCGGGCAAACGAGAGATGCTTTCTAGGATGATTGGTGGTGGGGTGGATTTCCGAATGTGGGACAGTGGATTCTGTGATGCGTTATGTTGCGTAGAAACGAATGCACGGGACCTGCCGTTTGGCTACAGTTCTTAAGTTTCCTTAAGTTCGTTCGCATCGAGGATTGTTGTTTTCATTCAGAGTTCTGTTCGTTTTATCACGAAGGGGAAATGACATTTACTTGTGTAAATTTTTTTTTTTGAATTAGCTTTGATCGTCATGTGTTTAGATGATAGTTTTTCAATAATAATCTGAGACAGAATTGTAATGATTTTGTTTTATCTCTGATGTGTTTGGATAATGTGCGTTTTATAATTGTAAAAATTATTAGTAATATATTGCTTGTTCTACTAGGTGCCTAATATAATTGTAGTATCCAATATTATATTTTACCAATTATATTCATTTATTGAAAACATAAATGTTTAGGAAAGAAGCATGTTAAATATTTTTAAAGGTGCAGTAGGTATTAAACGCGGCAGCGAAAACAATTTGTACGTACCAAATTTACTTTTAAAACATTTACTTATAACGAAGATTAATTTATTGTATACGATTAATTTATTTTAATTTGAATCTGAAATTGATATGAATACCTCTAGACCACTTTTATGCAGAAAACTTATTAAAAGTAATGACATCCCACGCACTGAAAGTTATTCAAAATAAAAATATCTAAATTCCGGCTTTCTGAAATTGTATATTTAATTATTATCATTAGATTGCATTTAGAATCTAGATTAATCTAACAAATTGATTTTGTCTGTGATGTTATAACATACACTTTAGATGTTTTATGTATTTTTGCATATCACGTGTATCGTATGCATTTTTGCACGTTGAGATTTTTCACAAATGCGTAAAAATTTAGTGTTTAATTATCATCAATCTTCAAAGCAGTAAAAGTTCTATCATTAAAAAGGAGTGTCGCAGTTAATCAATCTTCACTACAAGTTTTTAAAAGCTATTTTAATGTATTCAAATTGTCCCCCACTGTCTCATACATTTTTTACATCACTTTCATGCAATGTAATCGGCAAAAAATAGAGTCGAGTGCTGCATGAGTCCGTTAGTTGGCAAGTGAATTAAAGCCCCTTTCTTTAATATTGTGAAAATTGGACTTTCATCATGAAGTGTTTTGTAACAAATTAAGAAAATAATATAGCTTTACTGTAAGAAATGAAAACTTAACTTAAGAGAAAAATTATAATACATTTCTTTCAATAGTAAACTACTTGTTCAATAAACTCATTATCAATCAAGGGATTCATATTCCTGAATTTGAAAGACGAATAAACTTGTTATATAATTTTAATATAATAATATTATATCGTATCATTTACAATTATTTTGCTATTATGTCATATACAATCTAATATAATAATATCATTATTTTAGAGTAAGCGCGAAGAATATAAAATGCAGAATGACTTGAAAGACTATTAAAGCTTTAAAAAAAGAAACTTTAACTCGCGAGTCTATAACTAATTCTAAGCTATTAGATCAGTCGAATACAGTATTTAGAAACGATGATTCTGTTTCGTTCGTCGCGATGAGAAACTCACGTGAATTGGAATTGATAAGTAAAATTGTACGATCACAGTGTACGTTGACTTATTTTCATAAATTTGCCGTTTCTTTCGTTTATAGCCGAACGAAAATGCTTGAAACGATTCGTTTTTCTTAGTATTCTACGCGGTTCGTTCAACGATTTCACGGTCGATCTTTCGCCGGTCAGTCACGTAATTCGTTCTGTATTATAAAATTAAATGGTCGACCGAGTGACCGCGGATTTATAGTTCATTTCGGTGGAGTGCTGTCGCCGGTGAACTCGCACCTTCATTCTCAACCCTTTCGCGAACAAGCTAGACGAAAAAATGAGAGAGGAAAGATGAGAAACAAAAAAAAAAATGGGAGAGGGGAAAAAATTAAGGGCAAATGAAATAGTAATACAAAGAAAGGTTGAATCGTTACCTATGTTATTTAAATGTCCAATATTTAAAATATTATGGCTAAACGTATTTCTGGTGTTTTATTAATTCGTTAACTCATGAGTGGAACACCGATTTCAACGGGGGGAGGGGGAAAAAAATCGGAATTTCTACTCGGAAATAAAGTTTCCTTGAATAAAATAACCTCGCTGTTGCAGTCTATTTTTTCAACGGTTTACTTCCATCCGGTTTGTACAGAATTTTTATTTGCATCCTGAAGTTTTAAAAATTAAAAAGGAGTAATGTCTCGATGATGAAGAACCGTTGATGAAAACAGAGAGTTTAACTCTTCGTGGGCCGGAATGCAGAAATCAGAAAATACAAAACTAATTTCCCTTAAATTTATTTGTAACGTTTATAACGGTTTATAACTATTAGATGGCTTCGTAATGAATCCACGAGACCATAGAGAGTTAAATGCATTTAGAGTAGTTTGATAACGAATTAATCCTCCTATTTTTCCTTTTCTTTTCATATTAATTGAAACGTTGTGATATCGCGTAAATGGCGATGATTCTCGTATCGCTGGGTCGATATAGGCCAGCTGAGTCAGTAGAACCATGTAAATGCATTCATTGATAGAATCAAGATAGAAATTCGAATGGAATCTTGTTTTCGCCCTTTTTCGACAAAAAGCTCGAACAAAATTTTATTCGCACAAAACAGAAAGGATAGAAGACGTATCCCAACAATATAAAAACGTTTTGTTACTGATATTTAAATTAACGACGCGAAAATATAAGAGGATTGGAATATTTTAAAACATGTTGGATAAAGCGAATTGAAGTCGTACGATCTGAAATAAAATTTGAATCTGTAATGCACATTCTACCCTTATTTTCTTTCAGAGCATTCTTTCACGGAAAGCTCTTAAGAAAATTGGAATAAAAAGGTCATTTTGTTCAAAAGCTGTTTTCGAAATTGTTTTAAAAAATTCAAAACTGTTCACGAGAAAGTTGCACGCCGATGGTGCTTAAGAAAGGGATGAAAATGAGATTTATCAGCACACTGATGTGAAAGAATTTTCTTTGTATTCTCAAAATTAAAAGTAGGCAAACAGTAGGGCAAACTTTCACGATTCGCTATTACTAGATCATATTATACGTAATTTTTGTAGATGCTTTTTTTTTTAAATTATAAGTATTTCAATTATTTTCCATGAAATGTATTATAATTAGAGAATTACAGATGAATCAAACTGCAACGCGAAGTGTTGTTGAATTGATCTTTAAAAATTATATGATGCTTGAAATGATCAAATTTTGTAAAATTATTTTGTTATTTGATGGCTCTTTATCTTTAAATTTTTTAATTTATTAACGAAAAATTAAGAAAGAAATTTTCCTAGCAAAAAGATAATGGAAAGCGACGATGTTTAAGCAGTAAACATAAATATAACCACATACACAACATATATTACAGACAGTTTCTCAAGAATATTCTAATTTAATTTGACTCTTAATTTTAAAAGTAATTACGAAATATAATTAGCATATTTTTTAATAATTTAAAGTAGCTACAAAAACGTAGTAAAATGCTACTTGTAGTCGTTACAAAGTTGTTGCTGATGAAATGTCAATTTTTTATATAGATTTCAACGTCTATAGCTTCTTTGAAAGTATTAATAAAATTTCGATTCCCTAAATTCGATAGATTCTATCGAGTATATTTCAAAATAATTTGTATTTTGAAGTGATGATACATTCGAAAACAATTTTGTAGTTATTACAATCGATCTTGGTTAAATAGTAGATTGAATATATCGTTGAATATATTAATTCTTCTTTTAATGTAACTTTACGAAAATCCATATTAGTATTAGAAACAACTTTTATTTCATTAGATTGGAGTTTGAAGCCAAAGGATGCACTCGAATCTATTAATCATTCATCAACACATAATGTATCCTTTGATAATACATCAATTAACGAAATATCGCTCATGTTGAATTTGGCATATTCAAATTGAGCTTCAAATCGATATCTAATCGAAAACTGTTAGCGTCTATCGTGCAATCTTGAATTACGTTATGAATCATTCATCATTTATACTATTCATATAGTGCAATGTGACGATATATTAGAAAGTTTCACCTTAAACTCTTACCAATCGACACAATCATATCCTACGACACTTTCCCATTTTTCTCAATTGACTTTCCATTTCTCTTTCACAGAAGTTCCCATCGCTGTAGCTTCCATTATCTCAACTGAGAACTCGAAAAAAAGAAATCCCATCGTTCACGGGGCGACCTAGTTTAAATTGGTCAAAGGAATGATCCGAGAGGAGATTTATACTACAATTACGAAGAAAATACCGCTAATCAAAACAGCAAACTTTCGAAAATTCTCGACAGCTCGGAACGGTAAAATGCACGATTATGCTGCGGTAAATCTT